ACCTTCCAACTAGTGATGCATACCGGTTCACTGGACTTGGATCCGGACTTGTAAGAATGTTTAGGTTCAAGTCCAAAAAACCTAAAAGTCAAGAACCGAGTCCGGACTTATTACCATAAAAGACCATTTCACATACCCCTTTTCTTTCCAAACCACCTAAAACCTTCTGTAGATTGTAAAATCTGTGCTGCAAAACGAAGAAAACATTGCCATCGGGCATCGTCAAGTATCGGCCTCCATGTTATGTGGCCAAAGTTTCACCCAGACAACATTGCGAGGTTGCCAACATGCAATTTTGTATATGCCATGGGTTTAGGTCCGGACTTGAGTCCGGAACTGAACCTAAACCTGTGGACTTGAATCCGGACATGAACCTAAATGTGGGTTTAGGTATGCATCACTACTTCCAACTCTGGTAAACCATTGCCATTCCCAGAACTACAAAGAGGTGTTGGCCATCAAGCTTCTACATGTATAGGGGCCTGATCAGTGAAAGGCTGACAGATCTATAATGTCTTCTTGGGCCCTTGTCGTCTTTGAAAGACAATCTGCAGCTATAATGTATAAAACTTCATAATATAACAAGAAGGAGTGGTAGCAATGGGTGAGAAACTAAGGGTACGGTGGGAAGGGGGTTGAAAGGATGGTTGAAAAATCTGGCTGAAAGTTTGCTCAGTCTCCAACTGGCCACATTTACATTTTTATTGGAAATGTTTTCTGGTATGGATAGCCACTAGGCTAATTCCCCTTTTTTTTCCTTACTGGGTACATACCTGGAAGTAGAGCTGTGTACCGGTACGCAGTACCGATACTGTACCGGAAAAATTGATTAGGTACAGGTCCAAAATACCTACTCCCTCAGTACCGGTACTGTACCTAAACAATTTCACACCAATTTTATGCCTATTTGTGACCTCAAATGTGTATAAAGGTGGTTAACAATGGGTCCCTGTGTAAGGACAGCGTGTTCATGAAAACAAAACACTTAGTTTTGCCTATATTTTGTCTGAGCATTCGCCATAAACAAAGAATAAACCTTAACTATCAAGTTTATTTATGTTTTTTTGTTATTGAAGGAGTTCAGAAGACCATATAAATTGGTCGAATTGTTCAGGTACAGGTTCAGGTCCGGACCTGTACCTAAACCTGTGTACCTGTACCTGTACCTGTACCTAAAATTTGTTTAGGTACACAGCTCTACCTGGAAGTATTGTTTTGGGTGGCGGAGTTATGGCTTTGTGTATATGTATGTCCAGACAGAGTAGGTTGACAACACATGGGAAAGATTGACAGGCAGAATGGCAGGAGGTCTAGGGTCTCAGATTCTGCCCGGGAGCTAATATACTATGAATTAGAGATCAACATTTCCCTGCAGCGCATCCATGCAGTATGGCTGATTTTTTGAAAGGCAACAATTTTTGAGACAAACTAGTGTACATAAACAGCCACTGAATGTAAATTTACATAAACTCATTTATAACAAAGTGTAGCAAATCAAGAAAGTTAAAATTATCAGCTCTACCTCCCACCTTTACTGCTAATTAAAATGATATAAATAAAAATTCAGCAACAATGAATATGATGTTTAAAAAATTAGTGCAAGTATGGAGTCTCTAATGACAAATTATGATAGTACAAAACATTAAGTCTCCACTTACATAATTAGATAAATAATGAATGACTCAATAAATAAACATGCTGTTTTATGTTCAGTAATTAATTCAACTTCAGCTATTGTACGTACGTGTGGGTGTTGCGGGGGGGGGTAGAGTTACCTGGAAAGAACCATATAAATCAAGCACAGGGTAAAAATAAAGCAGCAACAACCCACCTCCATATACAGCCAGCAGGGCCAACAGTAGCGGGAAAGAGCTGCATCACATTTATGTCGTATTTCTTTTATTAACACAAGCCAGGAAATACATTGAAAGGCCTCCAGCAATCAGAATTATTACCGACAAGGGCCACATCTTTTGTGGAAAGACTCTATGCCAAGTTTGCGCCCTCCAGCAGTCCAACTACTGTGATTCTTGATTTTCACTGTACTGTTATGTTCACTGTTTTCACTGTCACTTCTGTACCGTGAACTTATCATTACAGTTAACAGATAATTCCTGGACTTTCTTTTTCCTGCACCTGTCGCCACCGTGAATATATAGGTCTGTGAACATGTCCATTTTTCTCAGACCGTGAAATTTTGCTACCATGAACATTAAGTGAATTACAGTATACTGTATAGAAAGAGGTAGCAACAGCATATACATAAGATTTATACTTGTATTGACTCACTACCAGGCAGGGAATAGATACCTCAAGATACTTCTTCAAACTCACAAAGAGAAGAGTTGATGGTGCCATCATATAATGATGAATAGTATATAAAAATACAGAGGACTATATCCCCGTTATCTTGCTATGGGTATGTTTATGTATGAGTGCAATGAAAAGCTGTTTTAAAAGGAGTCTTGGCATAACGTAAACGGACTGTATCTAGAGAGTCAGTCAATGGTGATCAGGATACATTTCACACTTGCCCCATCAGTGTAGTATATACTAGACAGCCATGTAACTGCATTGTGTCTGCCGCTGCACTGCGTGCCTGCGTAAG